TGATTTAGGAAGGCTATAGAATAGAGATTATATTGTTGAGAGAGATTGAACTACAAACAAGTTGCAACAAGTTTTAAAATATGGTCTTGTAAAAAGACTAGATATTTTAAAGAATTGGAACTGTGAAAGATGTATTGTAGTAGGACTATGTGGGGAAAAATATAAGTGATTGGTGTTAGAAGTAATAGTAGCTCCCCTGATGTTACGAAAATTAATCCACAAACACCAGAGGTTTATGTCCAAAAAGGAGACAGAGGAGTCCTTTCTGGCTTTATTAGAATAAAGGGAGAGGCCATGGGGCATTCCCCTGGGATCTCTTGAATTTTTGGGGGACGCAGCCTCCTTTTTATCCTAATTTCCAAGCTGCATTTTCCTTCTCTCTTTCCCCATTGGCTGAGGTACTTGAGAGGTACAGACTCCCCAGTACACCTGACACTGAAGATTTCCCGAAGATTTCCCTCTAATGTGTAACCCTCTGTTTTAATTTTTAATTCTTACAGAATTTAGGGGTTTTTCTTCCCCATTGTTTCTTTCATCTCTCAATGTCTAATTTTATCAGCAAACCTAAAGTTTATTTGTAAAAGCAAATATCTTTTTCCATTCATCAATCAGTGGAATCCTTCCCATTGTTTCTTTTCTCTTCCAGAGCTAGTTTTATCTACCAGCAGACCCACAGCTTGTTTATAAAGACAAATCTGCTATTCCTCTCACTGACGATCCTGGCCAGTGATTCGCTCACTTTTTCCTTTTCTTTGTATGCAGTTACTTTCTTCATTTCCATTTCCCCTGTCAGGTAGTTTTGCAGACATCTCTTTCCAGCTCTCTAGTAAATACTTCAAGCTGCATTGTTTTGCAAAGATCTGTCCAGAGTCTTCCATTTTGACTTTTCAAGTTTTGTTTCTCACATATGTGAGATGTGAGAGTTGCTTTCTGTTGAGAATAATCAAATGAGGAGACATCACTAGTTTCTCAGATTTTTAACGAAGATGGAGAATCTTTCACAATTTTTCTTTCACTGGTTTAGTCAGAAACTTAGATTATGTAGTTCTTTAGCCATAAGACATCCTCCAGTTTCACTGGAGAGGTTATTGACGGGAAAAAAACATAAACAAAAATGTTGTGGTCCTCTCACTGTAGCTACACAGTAAAAAAGCATAAGGAGAGGGGACTTAAGTACCTTACTCTATATAGGTGATGCTATCACTAGAAAGAGCAATGCAAATGAACTCTCCAAGCTGTGATCCTTCAGGGAACAGCCCCCACACTGCCTCCAAAGGGGCCTCCACGGAGGCTCCAAGGTTCTTGCAGGATTTGTTGCGGGAATACCTATTTGAATTCCGGCTGAGCAGGGGCTGCCGGGGCCGTGGGAGGAGGGTCAGGCCCGGCTGCCGCCAGCTGTGGGAGGCGGTGCCCTGCGGGAGCAGCCGAGGCGCAGAGCCTGGATCTGTCTGCTCCAGGCGTGTGCTGAGTGTCTGGAGTGATTCTCCCGGAGTGACTAAGGCATCATCGCGACAAAGCAGGCACTGCTTTAGGAAAGACTCTGCCCAACGGGAATGGACTTTTTCCAGATATTTTTCACACTGACCATCTTTTGTTTCACAAGCAGTTTAGAGATTACCAGGATTACATCTTGGTTGACTGCTTGTTGGGGATTACAATGTTAGAAATTAATTGTCTAGGGTTAAGTTTAATTGTAACATGCTGACAGTTTAGCATGAGTAGGTCCTGCTCAAAACTTGGTGTCAAGGAACTTTAAGTGAACTTTGTCAGCAAGGAGAGCTAAGCAGGGAAGTAAACAGAGAAAGACTGGGTATCTTCAGATAAGAGCTGAGATCCTGAAGGGCCCCAGGATGGAAGATAAGAACAATTATGGCCTGCCCACGTGGACATGGAGAAAGAATTCCATGAGATGTTAGAAGACTCCAGACCATAAACCACCATTGGGCACAGGAAGATCAGGTGCACAGAGTGTGGGGATATAAAGGCCCAGGGATTCCTTGGCTTGGGATTCCTCTCCAGAGGCACCACCTCAAGCTGAAAGAAACCAACTCTGGCTCAGAACCTAGGGTCCAAACTCTTCCTTAACATTGCAAAACTTTGGAGGTGACACAGTTCACAGCTGAATACTTGGGCAAAGTCTTTGCACCATGTGGACAGCAGGACATCTGGTGTACAAATGTGTTTGAGGTTCTTGTTGGAGTGGCTGGTATGGAGTACTCAATTCTGAAAGCAGAAGCTCCTTGAAGCTTAAGGGACACCAGATATCAGTGTGGGAGCTGTGGGTTGTGTATAATGACTCAGGAGAGTTTTACCAAACAGCACAAGCTGTAGAGCATGTCACGCTCTTCTACCAGTGCATCTGGAGGACTGGGACAGGGAGGAGGAAGAGGGTAACTTGGATTACTGTGTGATGTGTTTAGCCTTGACTGAGGCTGCATTCTGACATGTGAGAACAAGGTGTGATTCTGGGCTTGTAGCTGATTGTGGTAAAGACCTAGAAATACAGTTTCACCATAATCCACTGACAGCTGTAAGTGCCTGTTAGGAAGCAGACACAGTCATCATCTGTCCTGGTCACTGTGTTCTAGAGGGCCTGTTCTGCAGTGCTGATTCAGGTGAACTCCAAGGCTGTGCCTTTTATGTTGTGGTAAAATAAACAAAAGAAAGGAGACATCTTTCTTGACCGAACAGAATCCAGTAAAAGGACCTCCAGTTCAAAGTGTCACAGGAAGTTGTGAAGGGGATTTTAAATGTCCATCATGGGAAAACCACCCTGGAGAATTGTGTGTTACAATATGAAACCAGAGGCATAACAGTGTAGACAACAGCAAAGCTATTAATGAAAAACTCAGATCTGTGTGATGCTAAGGGTGCTGGTGTGGAAATACATCCAGGTAGTGCATGCACTCTGTTGAGCAATGCTGCAAGAAGGGAACACTTATAAAAAACTTCTTAGATGAGTATTAATGACATTTCCCAAGGTAACCATGGTCAATAATGTGATCCACAATAATAAAGGATATAGTGTGGTCCTGGTCAGATCAGTGATGGTCTCTGATGTAAAAGATGTTTCAAGCAGCCAGAGCAAAAGAGAACACAGCCCACCCAGTTGGGGGATGGCCAACCTGTGTAGAGGCTTCGGGCATGAACAATTACCTGAATGCACAGCTTCAGGAGAGAGCTGACATTTCTGAGCAAACTGAAAGCAACTACAAAATTGCAAATTAACTTGGGGCTACTTCTACAAAGAAGAGCCAGATGAAGTGAAAAGAGATGACTGAGTCTTGTCCCAAAAGCAGATCTTGTTTTGCTATGGAAATGTTATTTCCTCCTGCTTTACTGTATGACGCTACAGCTCTGCTGTTTCCCAGCCTTTCCTACAGAACCTCAGCCGCAAGCCTCGCCGATCCTCCAGCTCCGGCTGCCTATCCCACCCTTTCTGCAGCTCGTTCCCCTCCCCGTCCCGCCGCGCCCGGGGGCGGGAGGCAGCAGCTGCCGCCTGTGCGGCGCTCGGCAGCCCGGGCCAGCCGCCCCTCCTTCCCCCGGGCTGCTCCGGAGCAGCCGGCACGTAGCGGCTCGGCCGGGAGAGCGACCGAGAGACGCTTGCGGCGGCCTAAGTGGTTGCAGATGTGCAGCTGCATCGGGCTGGGGTCACAGCGGCCAGCAGGGTTTGGGGAGGGGGTTTCGCTCAGCAGGGCGGCGCCAGCTTTAGGACAGAACGAATTAGGTTGGAAACGACTTCTGAGATCGAGTCCTGTCAAACAGGACCTTGTCAACTAGACCACGGCACTAAGTGCCACGTCCAGTCTTCCTTCAGCACTTCCAGGGACGGCGACTCCACCATCTCCCTGAGCAGCGCATTCCAGTGCCTATTCACCTTTTCTGTGAGGAAATTCTTCCTAATGTCCAGCCTAAACTCCCTACAGCACAGCTTAAGGCCATGTTCTCTCTTGCCCTGTCACTCGTTCCCTGGGAGCAGAGCCCGACCCCATCTGGCTGCACCCTCCTGTCGGAAAATTGTAGAATGACCAAGTCCCCCCCTGAGCCTCATCTTCTCCAGGCTAAACACCCATAAGCTACCTCAGCTGTTTCTCATAAAACTTGTGCTCCAGACCCTTCACCAGCTCTGGTCTCTTCTCTGGACACATTCCAGCCACCGCAATAGCCTTCCCGAACTGAGAGGCCCAGAATTGGGCACAGCACTCCAGGTGTGCTCAGCACAGGGGGACGATCCCTAGTTCTGCTGGCCACACTATTCCTGACAAAGGCCCGAACGCCCCCGGCCTTCTCGCCCACCTGGGCACTCCCTGCTGACTCGTGCTCAGACAGCCGCTCCCTGCGGGGTGTGAGGCATCACCCCCGCCCCCAGCACGCGGGTTCCTGGCTCTGACTGCGAGACCCGGGGCTGGCGGCCGGGCCCGAACAGGAAATGCCACAGGCCTTGCTAATGGAGTGCTGAGGCCTCCTGTCACCCCGCGGGGCGCAGCCCCAGAGCTCCCCGGCCCTGAGGGAAGTGGCGCCTGACGGCGGGGAGAGCCTGGACCAGGGCGGCCAACGCTCGCTCTCCCCTCCCCCGCCAGGGCTCCCCGCGGGCTGCAGAGCGGCCAGGTCTGAACCTGTTCCCGCCGGAGCCCGTGGCCAGGAGCCCAGACGCACCGCGGGGCCTTGGCTGCGATTTGAAATCGGGGCGGCCCCGCCTTGCCCCCGCCCCCGCCTCCCTCAGCCTCTCACGGCCGAGGGGCAGGGCCCGGCTGCCATGGCAACCCCACAGCCTTCGGGGCGGAGCTCGGGAGCGGGACAGGCGGGCGCTGTAGCCAATCACAGCGGCGAATGGCGCCTGCAGTGCCCGGAGGCAGCCAATAGCAGCCGCAGCCGCTCCCTGGTGGGCGCGGTCTCCGGGGAAGGCCCGCCCCCGGCGGACGCGGGTCCCTTTGTGGGGTTTGACAATAAGATGGCGGGCGGGGGGAGGCGGGGTCGGTTGGCCCCGCCCGTCCCTCAGACGCGGAGCGGGCGGTGAGGCGGGAGCCGAGCGGGAGTTACTGCGCGGGCGTGCGCCGGCGACAGCAGTGGCAAGGCTGTGAGTACGGTGGGCTGGGTCGGGCTGGGCTGGGTCGGATCCGCGGGAAGCCGGTGCCGGCGGAACCCGTAGAAGGGACGGGATCGATTCAAAATGGCGGCGAGAGCGCGGAGCGTTGAGTAACCGCCGGGAGCGCTGAGGGGGCCGGAGCGGTGGGACTGGGGGCCCGTTCCGCACTTCTCCGCTTGGTCCCTCCCGCAGCCGCGCTCCCTCAGCGTCCGCGCTTCTCCCGGGCACTCCGCTGCCCTCCCACTGCCGGGGAGCTCCCCCTCGCTCCCCGCCCTGGTCCCGCCTCTCCCCCCGGCTCTGCGGGCTCCCCCTGCCCAGTGCTCCCGGCCCCCACCTGCGTGCCCAGGAACTTCTGCCCCATCTGCTCAGCCTGCCCTTCCCCGGGTGCTGGAACCCCTTCCCAAGTCTCTCGAGTGCCGGAGAGGTGCCTGCCAACCCCCTACGCCCCGGGGGTGGGCAGACCCCAGTGCTTCACAGGGGCCTTTGTTCCAGTCTGAATAGCGATGCTTCTGGCCTTACCATCCCTCTGCTGTGTCTGCATGCCACCTTACACCTCGACACCACCACATGGGCACACGTGCATGCCTAAAGAGGAGGAGTAGCTCTCTTTCCGTCTTTTTCTCCACTGTTCCACAGAGCTTTGGTTTCTTCCCACGGTTCTTAGAAAAGCCAGTGTTGGAGTGGAGAGGATTAGAGTGGCAGAGGGGAGATACGGCCCCTTCTTGCTTTCCGTGCTAACCATCATCACTGCACTTACGGCTGTACAAAAAGCAGCACCGTGCTTCACTGAACCTCCAGTCTTGTCTGCTTTCTCCTAAAGATAAGCACTGCTGAAATTCCCTATCTTCTCTGTTAGCCCAGTTAGTGGGAAGCAGCTTTTTTCCCTTAAGTACTTAACTGTCTCTTTGGCAGCATATCACTATGAGTCCAAATTGAGTGTGAACCTGGAATGTCTTACGTTGATGCTGTAATAAGAACTGAATCAAATTTCAAGCACCTTTTTTGTAAAGCAGACTGGGAATTTGTTGATCCTAAAAGCAAAACTTGTAATGAATTACATGATGCTGTGCTATTTATAAAAAGAAGCAAAACAACAAAACCAGCAAAACTCCTTTTCTCTTAGTGCACTATGCTGCAGCTAGCTGTTGTCTCCTTGACAACTTTTTTTTTTTTTTTTGCATAGCTGTTTCAAACAGCGGTTTAGTTGAATACACAAAGTTTGGGCTCATGACACTGGAGCAGCAGAGGAAGAAAGGAGATGATGTAGCTCATCCAGATACTGCCTCTTGGATGGAGAAAGGTGCTGCTTGAAATTATCAGGGGATTTTGAACACCTTGACTCTGAAGCAGCAGCAGTCTTGCTCTGATGTACCAAAAAAGGTTTTATACAATGGCTAATGCCTTATAGTAACAGAGGTCCACATGGTTTGGTTATTGATCTAGGGAAGAACCTGGAATCACGTGCAGCAGGTTTTACACATTTTTATATTGCATGGGAAAAGTTTCCTTCTGTAGTATGTAAACAGATTACAGACTGGCCTGGTCTGCCAGCATCCCCTGTCATTTAGGTTGTGATGTGATAATGGCTCTTTCACCAACAGCAACGGTCCCCTCCTGTATTGTCCACTGTCTTGGGAGGCAAACAGCCACAGCCTCTCCATCAAAATTGTCAGATGCACCAAATATCAGTTTGTTTCTCTCATGACTGCACAATCTTTACCTGTAGTTCTTGGCAGGGGGGTGGAGGGATGTTTGGTGTTGGATGTTTGTTATGCCCTTGTCACCTACCCTCCAAAAAAGTAGAAATTTTGGGATTCAAATAGTCACCAGACACAGACTCTCAAAGAGATCACTTTTCATTTATAGAATGTATTCAAAGTGTACCTGGGGAGCAAAAACTTGTGAACTTTTATAGTGTCATGAAGTGTTTGCCAGAAATAAAGAGTTTATTGACTTGATACGGTGTTTGACTGAAGTTGTAGTTCAGATGCCTGGAGACACTGTTTCTAAAGTTGCTGTGAGCTCAGTCCATTAAAAAAAGAGACTTTGAGTTGTTTGAAATACAGTTTCCATGACATAACATCATTTAGCTTGAATATCTGGGATCAAGTCAAAAGTTTTTGGCTTGAGAATGTTAAAGGTGTTTTTTTCCCCATTGTGGTATTTTAACCAGTATGCAGCTTCTTGAGGAAAAATATGTTTTCTGCTCTCCCACCCCCAAGTCCTTTGTCATCCACCTTCTTCTCCCTCTATTTGACAGCAAGCAATCTTGAAAAATTGTTTATTACTACACAAAACAGAAAATAAGAACAGATGTCCATGTGCATCCTCTTTATTTGTTTCTTTTCCAGGTATGCAGTTCAGTTGCAGACACAGAACTGTCTTGTACTGCACAGACATGTCTAGAAAAGTATCTGAATTGTTTCCATGGTTTATTATAAAAGTTTTTGTAGCCTGTTGGAACAGCATTCTTTTTCATTTCAGTAGTTAAGGGAATTGTTGCATGTGATGGGAAGTTGTATTTGAGATATCAGATCTTATTACACTTTAGATGGGATTTAAAAACTCAGCCTTTATTGTTAAAGCAGTTTAATTACTGTCATTACTTTCGTTATTGTCATCTTGCTAAGTAAATCTTAGTCATAAAGTTTCTATGCTGGTAAAGGAAAATTCTCTCATGTTTTGCTGTGTTAGAGTTTTGTGTTTGTGCCACCTCATTTTCTCTAGATGCTACATAGATACACATGGGTTTGTACAACAAAAGTGAAAACTATAGTTTTGTAATAAATGTAAGGAAGACTTGCTTACCTTTTGTTTGTGTACACTTTATTGCTCATATGAAAAAATTTTGTTTGCTCTTTAAGTGGCAAAGCTGTAGGCATAAGGGAAAGGCTGGTCCAAAGGTCAGGGCAATAGCCTAGGACTTGGAATTAAACTGGCTTTTTCCTCCAGCTGCAGATTTTGGGGGTATTGTTGGCCAAATCACACTTGTGCTCTAATTGTACATTGGGTTTAATAGTACTATTCATGTTTCTGGGAATGATGCTCACATCCTACAGGATATGAAGGAAAACTGTCTTGTTCTGCATCTCCTGTCCCTGCCTGACATCCTGCTTCCCTGTGCTTGGCAGGTGGTGCTGTCACTTTTACTGCATGGACTCTTGCTCAGTAGCATGGGAGAAGAGGAAGGACTGCATCAAACACAATTCCTGGTACGTCACTTTTTGCTTCTTAAATGAAACCCTAACCTGGTACTCTGTGCAGTCACAAGAACAGGATGGCAAAAAACTGGGTTTATGATGTAAGATACTAATTGAAAGCAAGTGTTAGAAAAAATCCAGTGAATGCTGTGAAAGGTTTATCTTTAAGAATAGATTAATGTTTTTCCTCTGCTTCTAGGTGCCCAAGTGTGTGTGATGTATTGAGGTTTTCAAGTTTTCTCTGTGCTCTGTTTGGTTGGTGTGCCTTAGAAGGCATATAAATGCCAAATTATAGATGGATGAAACCAGGTTAACATTCAATTGAAGTTTTAATTATTCTTCACAAGAATGTAAGTTGAAATAAAAGAAACTTCAAACTCTGCACAGTGTTTAATGTTTGATGATGTAATCATGCATGATTTGTAAACAGACCCAAAAGATGTTTCTAGAGGTTGTTTCACAAGGGGGAGGAAGGGTATGTTCAGAAATTACTGTACATAGAAGTGCTGGAAAAATTAAATAGGATATCCTCTGAAAGGAAGTTTGCAGGAATGTCTAAAAATCTGGAAAAGAAACTATAGAGCAACAACAATATCGAGTATTTAATAGGAGTAATGGAAATATGGTAGGTTTCAGGATAAAATTTCAGAAGAAACATTCAAAATATTTAATAAATAGCTAATCCATGGATAGCTTTTAAGAAGTTATGAAAAATGACTACAAGACCAGGGTTATTCTATATTGTAGTCTCTGCACATTATGATTTATAAAGAGTTTTGTACCTTCACTGGAAAGAAATCTTTTAAGAGTTGGCAAATCCCAATGAAGGTTATTTCATGGATATATACAGCAGTGTTACAAGTGTTGTACAGAGTCAGACCAAGTGTTTATCTAGCTACTGTGCTATCCCCAGGTTTTCACAGTAGATAAGCATGTAATGTATTTTGAAAGGAGCAGTGGTGTTGCCCTTTGGTGGATTTTTAGTGTCTCTGAAAAAGCTGAGAGAGAATTCCTTGAAAATATGTGGAATGTACCGTAGCAACCAGAAAAGCAAGGCAGAGTTTAGGGCTTATCAAGGAAAATGGGAGATTATATAGAAAGACAATGCAATAGTATTTTGGTTTTATCAACTTGTAGTTGAAAAACTGTTTTGTTTGGGTCACTACCTTGAAAAAAAGCCCCCAAATAGTGGGCAAACAGGAATTTTAAGGACAGAAGATTTAAAAGGAAAATAAGGAAGAAGCATAAATGTAAAGATCAGGTATCAGCTTTCATTTGCAGCCCAATTTTTATAAGACTTAAAGAATTGATATATACTGCATTAAAAAAAAAGTTACTCTGTATTCCAAGGGACTGGCTGCAATATTTGCATGGGACACTTTTGTCAAAATCAGTGCAATTCAGAAGAAGAGCTGAGGCTGGTACTTGAGAGGTACCCCTTGTAGAATTCAGCAAGTGATTTTAGGTGTGAGTACTGAAAAGCCTGCATGCACCCTGTGTATTTTTAGCTGGTGAACCTTAGCTAGGAATACAGGAATTTTCCTGTCTTACAGTCAAGTGGGAAAGGAGTAGAGAAGCCCATACAGAGGATGACTGTGACTGTCCTTACTGGACTTGCCCAGTTCTTGTTGGAATTACTCACCTAAGGAAGGGAACCGGAAGGACTGCTTTGGGCACCTCTCCTGAATGTCTCAAGTTACATGGAACAAATCTAGATATTACTCTCTTTGGAGCCAAATAAGCTGATCTTTTCACATGTTCACATGTGAAAAGTTCACATGTGCTGCCCATGTTTTTTTGGTTTTTTTTTTTTTTCCATGTTTCTCTGTTGGGAATATTAATGTTCTGGAGGGATCAAATCATTTAAAGATGGTGTGCCAGGCTGTATTTTTATTTCCGAAATCAGAGGTTAAGCATGCCAGTAGAAACTCAGGAGGAGCGAGGAGAAACTGCCTCTGCAGTAGGGGAAATGCCACCGGTGAGATATTTGCTTCTGTACGAGGCAGCGGCTCCTGGCTGGCACCGAGTGTGGAGCTCAGTGGGAGCTGGGAGCCCCTGCCCTCTCCAATGCCATGCCTTGTGGGAGCCCCTGCCCTCTCTGATGCCATGCCTTGTGAGAGCCCCTGCCCTCTCTGATGCCATGCCTTGTGGGAGCCCCTGCCCTCTCTGATGCCATGCCTTGTGAGAGCCCCTGCCCTCTCTGATGCCATGCCTTGTGGGAGCCCCTGCCCTCTCCAATGCCATGCCTTGTGGGAGCCCCTGCCCTCTGCAATGCCATGCCTTGTGGGAGCCCCTGCCCTCTGCAATGCCATGCCTTGTGAGAGCCCCTGCCCTCTCCGATGCCATGCCTTGTGAGAGCCCCTGCCCTCTGCAATGCCATGCCTTGTGGGAGCCCCTGCCCTCTGCAATGCCATGCCTTGTGAGAGCCCCTGCCCTCTCCGATGCCATGCCTTGTGAGAGCCCCTACCCTCTGCAATGCCATGCCTTGTGAGAGCCCCTACCCTCTGCAATGCCATGCCTTGTGAGAGCCCCTGCCCTCTCCAATGCCATGCCTTGTGGGAGCCCCTGCCCTCTCTGATGCCATGCCTTGTGGGAGCCCCTGCCCTCTCTGATGCCATGCCTTGTGAGAGCCCCTGCCCTCTCTGATGCCATGCCTTGTGAGAGCCAGGAGCTGGGAGCCCCAGCCTCTCTCTGATGCCTTGTGGGAGCCAGGAGCTGGGAGCCCCAGCCTCTCTCCAATGCCATGCCTTGTGGGAGCCCCTGCCCTCTCTGATGCCATTCCTTGTGGGAGCCAGGAGCTGGGAGCCCCAGCCTTTCTCTGATGCCTTGTGTCCTGCTCACCCCTGGTTCCTGAATGTTGCCTTTGGGACCTGGTCCACATGTTCCTGACCCCTGTTGTACCACACTGGCCATTCTAGAACATGGTATGACAATTCTGATGTTTCTTTTTAATAAAAGATTTAAGTTCGCTGTTCTCTTTTTTTAGTACCATTTTTTTCCTCCTCCCTCTTGAGCTGTTTATGCTATACATGATTTTTTATTTGTTTGGGTTTTTTAACAGGACACAATGTTTGTGCGAGGATTAAAGAGAAAATGTTTTGATGGTGAAGAAGATATTGAAGGCACTCTGGCTGGTATTAAGGCTATTCCTTCCTACAATCTCCAGCGGCAGTCACTTCTAGACATGTCCTTGGTTAAACTTCAGCTGTGTCACATGCTGGTGGAACCCAACCTCTGTCGTTCGGTCCTCATCGCCAACACGGTACGGCAGATCCAAGAGGAGATGACTCAAGATGGGACCTGGCAGATGATAAATACACAGAGCACAGGGCAGGCATCCCTGGATCGTCTCGTTTCAACAGATATCCTCTGTCGTTCATCTAGGGATCAAGCTGAGGGAAAGCATGGTCCAGCCTATGGTACCTTCAGTAAAGACTTTGAGAATGACCAGGCACAAGATAATTCAGAAACTATGTCAACAGCCTCTGCAGTGCAGACACCAAGAAACCTGCAGAGCAACGTGTGGGAAATGGAGAGTCCACAAGAAAATAAAGGAAACTTTCAAAAATCTTTAGATCAAATATTTGAGACACTGGAGAATAAAAGTCCTAATACTGTTGAAGATCTGTTTTCAGAAGTTGACAATTCTTATTATGATCTTGATACTATGTTAACTGGCATGATGAGCAACACAAAAATGGGACACTGTGATAGTCTTGAAACATTTTCTTCTCCAACAAATACACCTTCTAATTCTAATTGTAAATCTGATCTTAATGACCTTGATCATATTGTGGAAATCCTTGTTGAATCCTGAACCTCCTTGTGTGGAGGTAAAGATCTGTTAATGGGAAGAAAAGACTGGAGAAAGCAATTTCCACAGTTTGTTCTATCCAATCTGCACGAGTATTTTACAAATATCTATATATTATATAGATATATATATATTAAGAAGCACTTCATATTGCAAAATAGTGTTAACTCTTAAAGTTAACCTGCAACTTGTAGTGTAATAATCTGATTTATTGTCCACTGAACTGTAAGTACATATGGTAAATGTTTCTGTGTTGGGGGTCCAAGGCTATTGAAATTGGGTTCCTTTTACCAATTTGTTTTAGCCTTTGATGGAGGATATCCTCAGGGAGAGGGATTCTCTTATCTTCTTACACTTCTCCCATAAAAATGGTAATAAACAGAGAGAGAAGCTGGATAACTGGTTTGCTGTTACCCTCCAGTTTCCACTTTGTTACACCACAAAACTCCTACCATACCTGCTGCTTCTAAGTCCCTACATGGCTCTTAAAGAGCAGTATGCAATAGTTCTTGTTATCCTTGCTAGCTTCTTCTGGGTTTTGCTACAATTTTTACTTCAAAAATAGTTTTAAAGTGTTTATCGGTGTTTAGATTTTTCCAGGTATTTTCCTAAAATATATTTTTTACTACAGATGTTATGTCAGCTGCTAACTTAGTAACTTTTGATCATATCTGCAGTTGATGTATTTTTTGCAAGATTTTCAAAAAGGGATGTTTTTTTACCATGAGCTACCCGATGTAGTTCAGTAAAGTGTATGTAAATGTAAATATGCAATTTTATACTTTGCATTAAAATGTCAGAGCTGTTTTCATGATTCTGTCTTATAGAGTAGTACTTTACTAAATTGAGAATTGTACATCTATGCTTTTCATATCCCACATATTTGAGTATCATTATAGGAAGATCTTTGATCTAGCTAGACACAATTACATTTAATTCATTTCAGACCATACTTTTTTGTTAACTACAAACCTAAATGATGCAGGTTTTTATTTATGTGTATTTATATGTAAATGTCATCAAGTGAATTGTTTATCATTGAAGTCTACCATCAAATATTTGTTTATATGGGATAACTATCTTGCACTAATTACTACAAAAAGTGTTATTAGCGGCCTTTAAGTCTCACTGGTTGGTATGTCATGATGTCTTGTCATAATTAATATGCTCCACTCTTACCAAGGGTTTCCTCTTGGCTTTTTTTATAACAAAAAATGTAATACAACATGGGATGGTGGTCTTTTCTTCCAGCACATTTGGTTTAGAGTGTATAACTAATCTTCTTCCTAGGAGACTTTTTTGGGGGGAAAGGGATAATTTGACTATAACCTATGATTTTATTATAAATAACAAATGTTTCCCATCAGAAGCTGCTACTGGGGAAAAGCCCCAAGCTAGCAGGGTGTAGGGAAGGGGGAAAATATGGATTGGTTTCTAGAATGTGTGGGCCATGGCTGTGCCAGGGGAAGACATCTGTCAATAATGTGGCTGTTTTCTGTAGATGTGAGCCAAGCCAGTTGCTGAGGAAGAAAAGAGAACCTTGCTGTGTGTGACAGGCTCTGCCTTCCCATGAGCGACCTCAGCTACGATGCAGGTTCTCAGACCTAGAAGGGGATTGGAGGTGGAGGTGCCAAAGGGGTGTTAAGAATATTTGAGTATCACTTCAAGAATAAGGAGACCACTGAGCTTACCTGCTCTAGAATCATCTGCTTTGAGGAAAGATGTCATTTAGGTAAATTTTGCAAACTCAGCAGTTGAATGTGTATTGGCTCCATCTTCTGAAACCATGCACTTTGTGTGAGTCTTCAGTCAACTAGAAGATGTTTCCTTGTCTTAAATTTGGCATAAGATAACTTGTAATTGCTGTAGTTAAACTTTGATTAATAACTTCATGTTAAAGGAAGAAATAGCATATAGGCACTTGCAAGTTCAGTCTGTAGGATACAGCTGGACCACAGAGAAGCCCATGCCTTAACTGAGAGATCACTTATAGGTATTGCAGCAATAAATGCTGATTCAGGAGGATCCAAATATAGATAAAAACTGTCCTATCTCACAGTGAAATAAAGCTGGCTTATGTGGTAGTGTTTGCTGTAGTATCAGAAGTTCTTTCAAAAATTATAAATCTGCATGTAATTTTTCTTGATGCTTTTCTGCATGTGAACCACGGAACTGGAAAGCAGTGCCTTAGGGTAAAACAGAGAACCAGTTTCAGTTTTATAAAGGCAACATCAGCATTGATTGGAATAACAAAATATCTTCTGTTCCTCTGGGAAACTTTTCTAAAACTGCTCTGAACTGTGTTGAAAACCCACAGGTTTGAGCAACTGTGTGTTCCCCTCTGCCCCCATACCCTCCATTTTCATTAAATGAGCAATTTCATGTTAAGATATCTTAAAAATGCTCTTTCCCACCTCCTTAGTGTGCATCAGTCTACATGTTACAGATAGGAATCAGAATAACTTGTTCATAACTGTTAAACTGTGTATGTCAAGTGCACATGTGTGTATTTATAACTTTATACTTCATCTAGCTGGGTGCATTCCTTTACTGAGGAAGCTGTGCCTACTTAAAACAATTTATAGAGTCTACTTGGCTTAACAGGAAAGCTGTTAGGTAAGTAGGCATTTGTGGAGTTAAGCATTTAAACAGAAATATATATCCTGTTTTATTACATTCTTAAAACTTATGCCAAATCTTATGTGCTCTTACAAGCCTGATATCTTGGCTCAGCAGGTATAAGAATTGGTATTGCTGAAACTTGCACAGTCACCATGCAGAACTTTTGGGTGCCTACAACTGGTCTGACTTTGCAGAGACCAATCTGTAAAATGAGCTTGTCTCCCTATTGCTTTAATAATGTGTCTACTAATTCAGCTTCTCATGCTTCACTTCTCCTGGTTAAAAAAAAATATAGAAAAGCTTCATTTTTTAACTGCTATTCTCATTTCTTTAGTGAGCTGTTATTACAAATGGTGAGAGATTATACTTGCTGCTGGGGATTTTCTTAATTTCTACATGTAAATGGGAAATTTTAAAAAAATGTAGCTTCTTAAATTAGGAAAGGCTTCTGACAGATTTTGCTGCCACTCCCAGCAGCCTTTTTCCTCTTGTGCTCCTAGGGAAGAGCTGTGGAGCTTGCACGGCATCAGTGCCGTGTGTCAGACAAGGCTGTTGGTGTGCTGATGGCACTGGGCTGTACACTTGCAGCACAGCAAGCACTGTCAGGCACACACTCATACCCAATCTGCTTCCTTTGCAGGTAGCACTGAGTGTCTGTGCCCTTCCTCTGTGCCTGTGGGCTTATTTCTCCTTTTCCCTTGCCAGAAAATCAGAGATCAGGCACAAGAAGTGCAAGGATCCAGGCTGCTGTAACAATGGCTTGTCTGCTTATTGCTTCTCTGTTTGTGTGGTGTTTGTTAGTTTCTTTTAACCCCCTCTCTCTGCCACAGCTCTGGAGGTTTGCCTAGCAAAAAACATCACCTGTCTCTACAACCAGAGCCATGTTTGCCTAAAGGACAAATTTGGTCCGTGAAGAGAGAATCAGGTGTTTGAATAAAAAAAGCACCTTTCCTGAGCAGACTGCCTTGGAGGCACAGTAGTGAAGGGTTTCAGCCTGGAGCAGGTTAGGGATTCACACACGAGCTGAGCCTTCAGACTCACCAGGAATTACCTGTTCTCAAAGCTGTCCTTAGACTTTTTTGAAGTCTTGGATGTGTCTGGGCTACTTTAGTAAGCATTTTAAAAGGCATTATTGTAAATTGACTGAGAGTATAGTTTAATATTGTAATTGCCAGACCATTATGGATTTCTTTGTGTCTCAGAATATTGATTTGTGTGACTGCTTTACAGTCTTGCAGCTTATTCCATGTTCCCTTATAGGTAAACGAACTGTCAAAAGCTAGAATGAAAAAAACCCAAGACATTTGCTTTCTGACATCCATGATAAGACAAAAATGCTTTCAAAAATTACTTTTGTTCAAAGTGAAAATATGCTTGTGTCTCAAGCCTAGGATGTAGTCCCATATGCAAAAAAACCCCATGGCTGACGATGACAAATTTTGTTTGCTCATCAGTTCTTAAATGAGTATTATTTCACACTCTGACTAATACCAAGACTACAAAGCCACCAAGTTTCAAAGAAATGAAATAAACATCTTGGGAACATGTGTATTTTTGTCAATCTGGCTTATTAAATACAAGATTTTGCGAGGATTGTCTGAACTTCTTTTAGTGTCTCTTGCAAAGTTGACAGCTAAGTTTTCCTACTTTTTTCCCAAGGAGTTTTCATGGAGAGGTGAAATCCCATCACATAATTTGTCAGGAGACAGACTTATTTTAGATATTTGTAAAAAAATTTTTTGTTTTGAAAAAAAAATAGTGAAAAATACAAAAATTTCATTATTTGACATGATTTTCTTAAGTTTGTATGGCAGCTTTTTCTTCAAAAAAAACCCAATAATTATTCATTTGCTTAGCCAACATTCCCCCAAAATGAGTGGTTTATGACCTGAAGAATTATTGTGGTAAATGTCCATGCATGACAAACATGTCAACAGGAAAACCTAATGCCAGCGGCTGCTTTGCATTGTTAGGGAAACATTTGAGTAATTTCAAGTGTCATCTTTTTAGGGAAGAGTAATTGAAGGCACATGTGATTACAAGACTGCCTGCAAAACCAGAATTAAACAAAAATTGTATCCCCATGTATGCTGTATTTGGAAGTCCCCATGGAGCTTGCCATGGAGAGGGAAGTGCAAGGATGTACTGCAATAGTAAAATGCAGCAAAGGAAACAGTTTATACTATTTTTCATGTTTCATTTACAGACAAAATTTGGAGAGGAAATCAAGAAAAAGTAACTTCAGCCTGGAGTTGTGCAAGCTTACAAAACAGGACTTCCAAAGTGAAGAGTGGGTATGTTGATAAAAAACTCAAAACCCAAAAGAGTTTAATATGTAGAAGAAAAAAAACCCATTCACTTTTCTGTGTTTGAAATCATTACTGAGAGAAAGGCTAGATATGGAAAGCACTGGGTGTTTGGATTATTTTGTGTGCAGTGAACTGACTGACGTTTAAGACAAAATTGTTGAATGGTTAATTGTTTAAATTGAAGCCTGGTACTGTCATTTGCTTTTTTGCCTCTGCTTTGTTCAAAAGGTATAGGGGGAAAGTGCTTTTTCTTGTAAATTGTGATTCTTTTGACAAAAGAGATCAATGGCTAATTTCCTACTCTGAGAAATATTCTGTAAGGTGTTGTTAGGTTTTGTATTAACCGTCTTGTGTCATAGCTTTTTCTAATAAACTTGAGTAGGTGTAGGAATAGTTTGTTCACAGAGGCTTTACACCAAGAAGAGCTGATAAAACTAGCAAGGGTTTGGTGCAGTGTGCTCTGCCTTTCTCACTTCCCTATGGAAGGGTGGCATAACAGGATCATTCTGCCATTCAGCTCTAGAACAGCTCATTCATTTCAACCAAATCCATCAGATCTCACAGTCACTACATTTTTAGAATGTTTCCAAGTGTGGAGATACAAGGAGAAAATAGCATTCTGTACTGATAGCCAGTAATCCAGATAAGGGAGAGACATAAGTTTCCAGGCATGAGACCAGCTTCAATTAGAGCTCATACCTTAGACACAGAGTAATTAATCACAGGCATAAATCCATAGGAAAGCAGACTTTGTTAGTTCTTGTGTTCGTGGAACTGTGTTTTTAAATAGATGCCGAGTGTGAAGGTAAGAAGAAGTAGCAAACCCCCAGCATTCCTTTCAGATGAGTTATATAGAGACCCTGATTGGTTTGGGGGTTGTGTTTTTTTCCTGGTTTATGTGAAATTTGCTGCAAAATCAAATATGCTGCTTGTAAGAATGGCATCCTGGTCTGCTGCAGTGAGTACAGTCATACTGAAAGGCCATGTTTAAAGCTTTAAAAAATCATATACAACCCTTGGTTTGCCTCAAGCTCAGTTCAATTCAAAATGGGAGAGCATTAGACTCCTAGAACATGACCTCATTTGAGAATGTAAGCACTTTTTAAAGGAAGATTTTTGTCAAGAAGGACCTTGTATGTGAGCACAGCTCTCTGAATTCTTCACTGTGTGAGACAAGCATGGCTCCTCTAGCACGAGACACTAAATATTGCCAAGCTGATCGAGGTTCCAGTTCTTTCATGCGAATCCCACTGCTAACACAAGCAAAAAAGTGACCAAACCCTTTGCAAATAATCACCATATTTTGTGTAATTTATATTAACTTCTTCAGGTGTTAAGCCATGAATCCAAAGTTCTGATGCATGCATTTAAACAACTCCAGGTTCTTTTTTGCTGTAGCTCTTGTCAGATCATGCTTGAAACAACTGACCTTTCCAGAAACACCCACTAGAAGGCACATTCAGCCTTTTCTATTGCACAGAACAAAAACTGCTTACAGAACAGCTGACCACCTCAAGTTAATCACTCAAGCAAGAGTGAGGAGAGCAGGGTGACCAGCGTTGGTGTCTTTCTGGAAGGTCTGCTGGGCTGGAGGAGAATGGTTGTACCAGAGGCTCAAGCTTTGAGCTGGACAGGGAGAATTGTCCAGGACTGTCCTGGTGCTGCAGGGATGCCCAGAGGTCATAGACTTTTGGCCAACAGGGATCAAGTCTGCAAAGCCTAATCTTGGCTCAAGCTATGGGGACACTTTGGTGGTACTGCTAGTTAAACTACCCCTTTATATTCTGTGTAGAATAATGATTCCAGAACCATCCCTTCTGCACCAGCTACCTTTGTATGCCTGTCCTGTGTCAATTCCTTGGAGATAATCCCCAGCAGATGGCAGGGGTTGGTCCTGGTGCAACACTCCTGGCTGTCCCTGGTTGACTTCAGCAGACACAAGAATCCTGAACATCTCAGAGTTACTTCTCCACTTAAGCCACAGTGTGTGGTGGGAAGGAAGGGATCTTGGGGAGGTGTTGGGTCCACTCCTCCCCCTCAGTGCTGACACTGCAGCAGATGGACCATGGGGGTCGGGGTGTCACTCCTCAGCTCTGGCAGCGTGTCAAAAAGGATTCATTAGTGCTTCTCATGGCAGTGCTCGCTCCCCTTCTGTGCTCCATGACCTCCAGCAGTGAGGTCAGAGCACAGCTGTGGCTGGGGAACTGGGGACACCATGCTGCAGGAGAGAGGTGGCCTGGAGAGATGATGTCCCTGTCCTCAGCGAGGGACACCTCACCCGCGGGGGTCACCTTGGCTTTCTGTCCCTCTGCCCTTCGCCCCCATTGCACACTCCTACCCCAAGTGCCCATTAGGAGACACAAGAGTTAAAATCTGTTGGACCTGAGGGTTTAAAAGAAAAAATCTCCTTTGCTGAATTATCACAAAAACCAGCTGATCTTTCCTCGAAGTTGTGGTGTATCTCCACCAGAAAACTGAAAATGTTTCTGTAGTATTTATGAGACCAACATGGAAGCTTGTGCGTGAGCTTGGTCTGTACTTGCTGTCTATGTAGGAACCCGTCTGTGCAAATGTCCTTGAGTTTTGTTTGGTTTTAATGTCCTAGAGATTGGCTCTTCCGGAGATGGGTTTAGATCAAGCAGCTTTTAGGGGATACATCAGGTAACCAACCCATGGCAGGGTTCGACAAAGGATCAAAATCGATCTTTACAAATACTTCCATGTCAGATTTTGAAATCTGGTTTGTACAAACACTCGTGCCAATGTAACTTGATTACGCAAATGCCCGTGAAAAGCAAATATGAGGTTCGAACACGGCTAAAACCACCACGTCTTTGAAGAAAAAAAAAAAATCAAGTGAATATTCATGGGAGAATTGTGCAATGTTTGACGTAGCTCTAGGGCTGGTCGGAGACGTGTGCGCCTGGTGTCCCAACAGGCCTGGCACCGGGGCGTTGTAGGAACGCCGCTCTGTAGAGGCCCTAGGCGTGCCTTTTACTGAAATTTGGTACTTTTGGTCACAGACGGACTGCGAGTTTATACAAAAAAAAAGGGGGGGGCAGGAGCAGGGGTGGTTGTGGGGTTGGGTGCGAGCTGGCCGGTGGCTCCGCGGTGGTTTCACGGCAGCAGCGGCGGGCGGAGCAGCGCCGTGCGGAGCGGAGCCGAGCCCGGCGCGGCCGCTCCGCCATCCCCGGCAGCACGGGCGGGGCCGCCCCCGGAGCGCCGCGCCGGGAACGCGGGACTCGGCGGCGCCCGCGCCCCCATTGGCTGAGCCCGCCGCGCGGCCCCGCCCCCCGGCTCTCCCGGCTCGCTCATTGGGCGGTGCGGCGGGACCAGCCGTAGCCCCGCCCTCCCGGCTCGCCGGCCAGTCAGAAAATGGTTGCCGGGCAGGTTGAAAGGGCCGCCGGCCAATGGGAGGGCGGGCAGCTGGCGCGCGCGGCGCACGCAGCGCCCCCCCGCGGGAGCCGCGGGCGGAGGGAAGGGCGGAGCGGAGGCTGCCGGGGCCCGGCGGGGGTGGCGCTGCCTCCGCCTCCTCCCGGCCCGAGTCCCAGCCCCGCCGAAGGGAGGGAGCGCGGCCGGCCGCGAACGAACGGGGCTTCCTCTGCTCCCAGGTGGGGCGCCGGGCGGGAGGCGGCGGGAGGGCGCGGGGCTGGCAGCCGCGGGCAGGGGGAGGGTGGCGGCGGTCGCGGGGTGACGGCGGGGCACGGCGGGAGGCCGAGGCGGGGGCGGCGGGAGCCCCGACGGGGCGGGGGGGCCCTGCCGTTGAGGGGCGGAGGGGCAGCCGGCGGTGCGGTGGGAGAGGAGGGGACAGCGGGGACAGGTGGAGCGGACGGCGGGCCCCGGGGCGGTGCGGGGTGGACAGACGGCGGCCCCGGCGAGCCGGGCTGGGGCCAGGGACAGAGCGGCGCCGGGGTGCGGGTGCGGCGGCCCCGGGGAGCCGGGCAGGGCGCGGGGGGAGCGGCCGGAGCGCGGCCGGCGGTGGAAGTTGTTCGCGCAGTTATAATTAGCCCGGCTGGGGTCTGAGCGAGCCGGGCGGAGGGAGGAAGGGGGAGGAGTGTAACTTTTCGCAGCTCGGGAAGCCCAAGGTTGTCTCTGGTTACCGCTGCCCACGGCCGCGGCGGGGGCGGGACGGCCGCAGGAAGCACCGACGCGCCTTCCACAAAGGCCAAATGGTGGCAGGAGCCGCGGGAGCGGCTGCGGGAGGGCGGCACGAAAGGGCTCTCCCTGAATCCCGGCCGCTCCATCCTGGCTCTCCTCATCGCTGCCGCTCGGTACTTGAGACTTATGTATAAGCTGCAGTTGCGTTTTTAAAAGCAGGTTTTGCTGGGCTTAATAAACGTGTGTTATTCTGGGCTACGAGCAGGTGGATGGGACTGGAGGAGCATAAAGATCGGTCTCTATGCATATTGCAGATTAAGCTCGCAAATAGGTGCAGTTAATAATTTCTGCCCTAGTTAGGCCTGGAATTTTTCGAACTGTGTTGGAATGCTCGTTTCTAAAAGCATAGGTGGGAGCCTTATGCAGTAGTTTTCCACTTTATTTTTGATGTGGCTAAAATTCCATAGCTCGGGCAGTTAACTGCAATGTGGGAAATGCCATTAACATTTAAATGATGCTGTAATTTCAAAATTCTAAAGTGACCCCTAAACACGTACTAGGAAAGGAAGACAGAAAGTAATCCACTAGAGATATAATTCATAGTGATTTGCAGCTACTGTGCCTTCTATAGTTGCTTTTTTTTTCCTAACATTGTAAAAATTACACCTAATAACCTTACTTTTGTACTTCTTCCTGACACTTAACCCAGTATGCTCAGAAATCATACAGGGGAAAAGTCAAAACCTCCACAGTTACTTCTGCAGGAATCCTTTGAGGTGTCTAATAAAGAAATTAAATTTGAAAACTTCTTGACTTCATCTCCTTCTAGCAAAATATTGGACTTCTAAACCACAAGTAACAGTACTATTTTTTTTCATCCAGTGCTTCTAATTCTGTTGGGTTTGGGGTTTTTCAACTAAGGTGCTGAAATCTAAAATTTTTCAACGTTTTACTATGCTTGTTAGCTTTGTGAAGTTGTTTTAGCATTAAAGAATCCTAAAACTCTAAAACGTGTGTTTTTATATTCAGTGTATAGAAAATGCAGTGACTGCACACCTCTCCCTGTGACCTAACAAGTACTCTTTAATGAACCTCAATAGTGACCACCTGAAGTCCTGCTGTTTCAGAGCAAATAGGTTATGAATCTTCATTTGTCTCTTTATTTGGGGCTTTTTTTATTTTCTAATTATTTACAGATAGCATGGATATCATTATACTGGGAAATAAATCAGCTTCTAGGAGGAGGAGGGAGATGTTAATGTGTTTGTTGCTGTGGGTTAGATTTGGCTTGCTGAGGTCACGGGCATTTTACTGCTGTTTTACTGCATTTTTACAGTTCCGAGGTTCTGTAAGCGGAGGAGCCCTTTGCTAGCATCAGGCTATGAGTTGCTATGTAAGATGAACTGTAGGCGTTTACTTGCCCGTCTGTCTGAATGTAAGACTGCCTTTCACTATGTATTATTTTAAGATTTGTGCAATAATGTGTGAACCCTTGGTTTTTGCTCGTGAGGGGCTGTGTTTGTGCAGCCAGTGCTGATCCTTGCTCCTGCGGTGCGTTTGTGGGTTTGCCGTAGCTGGGTCAGGTGTCTGCGTGTGTGATGTGCACAAACTGGCACGTCACATCCAGTCCTGCCTGCAGGCTCTTAGCCCCTGCAAGGGCTTTCATCCTTGCAATTCATAACTGTTGGGTTCTCCAGGTGGAGGTGAGACCCCAAGAGCATGGATCGTGCGATTCCCTCCACATTTCCCAGCCTAGCCCATAGTTCACTGTCACTTGAGCCTTTTCACGTTTCCCAGTTACCAATGCCTTGAGCTAATCCATGATTTAATCCATGTGGTCTCTGGCCATACTGCAGATGTTGCTGTATCAGGGGTTTGATGGAACTGGTGCCACACTGAACATTAGACACAATCATAGGACACCTTATCAACTGCCTTCTCATACTGGTTTTATGTATGCTGAAAAAGAGGAAAGTTGGAGAATTAAATAAAAATCTAACTGGTTTTGCAGCCTGTAAGCATTAGGGGATAATTGTGAAATGTAGTTCTTCACAATGCATGGTATTCTCTCTCCTGATTGTGTAATTTTTGAGATAATTGCAATTGTAAATTGGTGTTCAATAACCTTAGGAAGTAGCAGTGCCAAGTCCTTATCCTAAAGCCTAATGCTCAGAGGATTAGCATTCTGCAATACTCATTTACAAAAGATAATTTCCGCATTTTATGTGCTCACAGGTAAAGCAGTTAGGTCCTCTTATTTTGGTGTATTTGTGAATTTTAGGGGGTTTAACCCACATTTATCTGCTTTTCTAGAATTTACCACAAATAATTTAAAAAGTTGTATTGAATTGTGTGCTTAATGCTTCTGGTTAAAAAAAAAAAAATAAAAACCACCACATAGTAATTAAATACTCTGATTTTGTTTTGTTTTTCCTCTTAAGTCGCATCATCCTACCTCAGTGGATGGCTTGGCCTCTGGGATAGCTCAAGACTCTTGGATGACCACGCTTTATGCAAAATCCAGAATCTTCCTGCCTGGACTCCTTTCTGTTTTCTAAGGGTAACGACTTCTATGTTTTTATGAAATTGTATCTCATGTGCATAGGACGTGTTCTGATAATGGGCTGCAGATGTTATTTGTGGATTAGAATGGTAAACTGAAATATGTCTTTTTAAAATGGGATATATAATATAAAGTGAGGTAAAAACTTTGGTTTGAGTGTTCTGAATTTCCGTTACTATTTTTTTCCTTGATAAGGGGGAATTATCACAATTCAATAAAACATATTACTTTAAGATCACATTTGTATTGGAAATTGGTTAACTAAGACTTCAATCTTACAGTAAGATCCACTGTTCAGCTGCTAAAATTGAGTGTTGCAGTTCTGTCTTGTGAGAAGGTGGCACTTTAGATACTGAAGTAAAGTTGTGTACTACAGGAGAAAATTCAGTGAAAATTCATGATTTCTGATTTGGTCACAGAAAGAATAGATGCACAGTCCTCTATCAGGAAAAAAGCTCTTTTGTTGTTTGCTTTCACTGTTAATGGTCCAATTTTTTCTGTTAAAAGTATGGGCATGCCAATTTTTAATATTGAATAAGCTGTAACTTCCTTTATTAGTAGATCTTTTAGATCCCTGTAACCCTAAAGCATGTGTCAGTATTAGGTAGGGGAATGCATCTAGTGTCTCTGTTGGAAGCAAATGTGGGATTGAGCACTGTTAGTTGACTAGAACAAGCTGTGAAGAGGTCTGCCATTGCATTTGCAGCTCTAATGATTATTTGCTTCTCCAGTGAGATGCTTTGGTGGAACCATGGTGGTTTGGTTCTTCTTGTTTCCTTTATGAGTCTTAGGTTCTCAGTTAATTATAGTTTAGCTTCACTATGGGTGTTTCTAGGTTTAGTAACTCTTGATTATGTATTAGCTTCTGCCAACTACTATTGATTCTTTGTTTAAATTACTCCAGGCCCTTCTTCCACTAAAAAAAAAAATAAATCCACCCAGAATCTGTGAAAAAACCTTACTAAACACACTCCCATTGAAAATATAGACATGAGATTTATTAATAAATGTGGAACAAGATACACAAGTGACAGGCAAGAGTGATAGTGGTTTAGTTTGGGGTTTTTTATGGGTGGAAGTTTCTCTCTACTGAGCACTGGAACCCACTTGCTTTAGCTGTGGAAGGTACAGATCCTAACAGAGTTCCTTCTCCAGAGTGAAATGGCATGCTCTGAAACTCAGCTGCCATAGTTTGTAAAGCAAAGCCCTTATCAGTGCTTTGTGAAATGAAATGGGAGTAAGGAACTTAGAAAGATGTCCTTAAGTGCAGGAATTTTCCAGATCCCAGTAGACATAACATAAACAGGTTGTTTTGGGGGGGTTTCAGAATAACTCTTAAATCAAAGTAAAACTTCTTTCCAAGTGCTTCCTAAACATCATTTCAGCTCCTAAAATATTTGTGTATGATACAGGTTTATTTTCTACTTCCACACATAGTCAATGACAGTGGGAACATTATTAATTCCAGAATAGTTCTGTACTAAACCCAGTCTTCCTCTCATTCCTTTCCTGTACCTAATGAATGCTATTCAGGCTAGTCTGACTTTCAGAATGTGGGGAAATCCTTAGGTGTGGGGTTTTTTCTGTTTTGTTTGCAGAGTTGTTGTGTGTGTGTTTGTTTTTGGGTTTGTTTGTTGTTTTTGTTGGGGTTTCTTGAGTCTGAACAGTAGCATATCTTGGTTCTGTGTTCCACTTGCTTTGTACCAGACTGTGGGTGTGTTACAGGTCAGGATTTGTTGACCAAAAAGTTGACATTAAGTCTTCTTTCTTTGAGCAGCCATTTTCTGGTAATTTCTGACTCCTGTGAAGTTGTTGCATAGGAGTTTAGGTATGGGAGTGAGCTGGCAGGACTGCACTCCTCCCTGTGTGCACACTTTTAGTCACTTGTGCCTTCTCCAGCAGTTACTCATCTTGGCTAAACTGGGCCAGGGCTGAGGGGGGTGGGGAGACAATGGACTTAAACACACTTCTGAATGTTTGGAAGTATCTTCAGGTCTAAACTTTTTTCATTTAGTGTTTCCTAAGGTATTTAGTCCTTCCCTCACTTGCTCAGGGTAACAGGCAAGATGTAGTGTGGGGATCTCCAGCACTTGCTGGGGACCCTAGATCAGAGATGTTCTGTGTGCTCTGACAGCTTACACTGTTATGTAAGGTATGTCCAAGTGATCAGCACTAAGCCTGGATGGGAGGAAGGGATTTGTGCTGTGTCTGTTAACTGCACCTTCAGCCTTTCCATTTCCTTGTGCACTTTCTTCTATGTGAAATATCAATAGTCAGTCCAGCACTTAATTAAAACTGCTTGTGAAGTTGTGTTGCCTAAAAATGTGTGTCAGGTAGGGGAAGGATTATCTTTAAAAACAGTGTACAGCATACATCAAATAATTCTGGGGAGCAGCCGTAGCTGCTGGGGTGTTTGTTTTCCTTTGCACTTCTGCAGATGGATGTGTGCTTGTGAGATGTGTCCATGAAGAGAGGGGAGGGCAGAACACCAGGTTATCAGCCAGCCTTGGTCAGTCACTAACACAAATCTACAGCCCAGAGAGTCTGTCTGTCTTTACTCTTACATGGTTTCTATAGTTACGAGACAAAGGAGACTTTGAAAGGGAATTGCCCAAATTACAATAGCAAGGATTTGATTTTAATACCTAAGTTGCATTACTGCAAACTGGACAGGCAGCTTTCACTCATGAGGTGCTTACACACCTGCAAAGCTGGTATTTTTGTCCTGTAAGAAAAAGCAGTATTTCCCTTTGAGGCTGTCTTGGGCTGAAAAATACACCACTGTGGCTGTACAGAAAGGATCAAGCAAGTTTGAAGTTAATAATACTCTAAAAAGAAAAGCCAAAAGGTACCACTATGAATTCAGTTATCTTTACCTGCATAGGAAATGCCAGGTACTTTATTGATGATCTTGCTATTTAAACATATTTAGTGGTAAATAAATAACTGTTTAATACAGTGCATGAGAAGTTTGTGTTCATACAATACTAACCGTGGCAGTCATGTTTCATGCACTCATTATTTTTAAGCTCTTCCCTACTGAAAATTAAAGCTCTGCGAGGTCCTGACTTCTAAACATTGTTTAACTTTTGTCTTTAGTTCTCGCTCGTATTCCAAAAAAGTTTTTAAGTGGTAGTTTGCCCAGATAGAAGTAATTGAGGGTTTTCACATGTTGCATTATTCCTTGAGAGTGTTCCCAGCTGTACTTCCCAGCCATGTGTCAGTGGCAGCTGCACTGTCAGGCCGTGTGACAGATGGAGCTGAAATGGTGGCACGGGCCCTGTATTGTCCACAACACGTTGCAATGTGAATTTTTCTCGGTAGCCTGGAATGTTTCTTCTGAGTAGCTGCGCCCTGACCAGGCCTATTTGTTTGGTATTGTGTGGATTTGCCAACCAGGGACGTGCTTCTTCCCTCCCAAGTTTTTTCAAACCCTGGTATGGTGTAGGGTTACAGTGCTTGGATGCTTCTTCCCATCTTAGCAGGGAGGAGTTGCAATGAAATGTCCTCCATGGAGGACTGGAAGGAACTGAGGAACATGCTGTCAGGGCAGAATTTCTGTGTAGACTCCATTGTAGTTCAGTGATGTGAGTAGAGAGTTTGGTACTCCCAAATACTGAGTTCACTTTGCTTCCTTTTCTCTATATCTGAAAAATTATTTTCATTAAAAAAGCATTCTGCCATAAGCAGCCTGTGGCTCAGTTTGCATTGCTGTAATGGGAGAGGATGAGAAGATGCCAGGAAAAAAGTTGAGATGTGTTGCTCCTCATTGTTTCTGTGTTTTTCATGACAAAAGATTTTAAAATAGATCATCTGAACAGAAAAAAAAATTTTTGTTGTGGAACTTTTTCAAGTTCAAGAAAAGGGTGACTTAAGTTTGCTGCTTTTATAATTGAACAGCTATGTGAAGACCTTACATTTGAAGTTGGCATAAACTTTTCATTTTTATTTCGTTTATTTACTTACAAATCACAGAGTTATCAGATTGGCACATCCCAAAATCCTGTTAGTTGACCCAATTTTTTGAGATGCGAGTTGGTTCCTGGAATTAGGCTGGAGTGAGGAGAGTGCAGTTTTTGGAGCCTGTGCTTTAGCGTGCCCAGATTGTGCTGCTCTGAGCTGATGGAAGGGCTGACACTGCTCCTCCTCTGAGCAGGCAGCTGGGGTTTGTGTGTGCACGGCTGCTCCTTTGCCTTACTACCAAAAATTGAAGTGGGCTAAGCATTGCATAATTAAATAATGCCATCAGCATCTTCTGCTGCAAAGTAATGCTGTGAAAGAGAGCATCTGACTGTGAATTTTGGGTTTGGGATGAGGTGTCAATGGCAGTGCTACGGCAGAACAAGGTACTTAGGAAATACACAGTAGTGTGTTAAAGATCTGATCCCATCAGAAATTCTTGTGTTAGAAAGTAAAGCAAAAGGCCTGATAAAATGTAGATTAGCTCCTAACAAAGGGGCTTTGTGTCTTTTGTAGGTCAGCAGCTGAGTCTGTTTGACAAGAACTGAAATTTAATGTCTCCTGTAGCAACCATGACACTAGTCATTTTTAAATCCACTGTACCAATGGTACTCTGGTTTTTATTAGCCTTTTACAAATTTTTGTGTAACCTCTGAAGTCATCTAGCTCCTTGTGGGAGAGTAGGGGATCCTTCCTGTTAGGAAATAAATCAATGTTAGACAGAATTTCTAAAATGTAAGGTAGTACTATGTTTGTTTATTTTAAAAACACATCTTGGGAGTGGAGAGTATGTTAAGTAGAAACATTTTGAAGTTGGAGCAAATAGTGTTTCTTGCACTTCATTTTCATAGTCAAGTGCTGTCATGCTCAAGCATTGTTACATGTTTGTAAAATGCTCTGGGACAAATTTTATGAAGGAAATTTGAGGAATGAAAAGAGGGGTGTCTGCCTATATGAGCATGAAGTATTTAGTCTAACAAGACTACTGTTTGAATTGAAAAGTAAAACATGTCATATTAAGTTGTTTCTGTGAAATTATACATCCTTGCATGTCATAGTCTGCTTGCTCTTGAAGCTTGCTTACAGAATTTAAGTACTAGCACATTTTTGAGATGTTAGGAATTACCATCATTTTTATAATTCAAAGAGATAAGAATAGTACGTCCTGTGTGTCTAACAAAGTATAAATGTGTATTTAAAAAAAATATATTAAAAGCAGTAAATTATCAAAACCAAGCATTCTGAATGTGTGATATGTCAGAATTGCTGTTTCCTGTGTGGTCATATCTTCATTCCCTTATGGGTGTAAATTTTGGTCTGTTTAATTAATTGAGAGAAAAGCAAACAAACCCCACTAGTGTGCAGTGTATGGGAATGATGGTGCTCAGTGAGGAAAGAGCTGTTCTGATGCATAATTTTTGTTCTTACAGTGATGCTGTGAGGTAATGCTTGAGGTAGTACACAACATTTAAATGCTACTTGAAATGGAGAGCTCACAATTTTATTGTGAGTTTATGATTTGCATAAATTCTTGTTTCCACTACAACAGTTGGTATATTCAGCTGCAGTTTACTTGACCCAAATAAATGTGATTTTCCATAGATTGTGTCAAAAATTAGCAGTTCCTACATTATTGTGAATAGTTTGAGGATCCTTGACACACACACTGCCTCCCCAGAATGCTTTTATATTTTGTGCCTGAACTTTGTATCCATATTTGTTCTGATTTTGTTTTAATGGAGCGCTCAGTACTGGCTGGGTGTGTTTGCTCTTAATGGGGTGCTGGAGTGGGAGAGTGATACATGATCAGTGTGGGATGATGACCCGGGTGAGCAGGTACACCACTTCAGACACCTTCTGGTTTTTAAAGAGATTCAGCTCGTGCTGTGGCACTTAAGCAGAAAACTTTGGAGAAAAACAGAGTTCCGTAGTTTAAAAGTTGCAGCAGTGGTAAGATTACAAGTAATTAAAGGTTGTTGCTGTTTCAAGAGTGACTGTGTTAATGAACTGAAGATAGACCAGACTACTCCCTGCGAAGTAAAAAGGCAGTCCTAGGACAAGTTGAATTTTATCCAGATATGTCCTTAAAAGAACAAAAAGTGTCTGCTATTGAGAAGTCTGACACCTAAAATCCTGTAGCAGCTGTTTTCTCTCATGTGTCTTGCTGAAGAGGATGCAGCGCTTTCTTGCTTTCTGTTCCTCCAGAGGAGCAGAGTTCTCCAAAGCCTTGTCTGGGCAGATGGACATAGCCATGGAGCCCTGCAAATCTGGAGAAATCCTGAAAGTAAAAGAGGCTTTCTCCTGCTGCCTTCTCCTTGTCCCCAAAAGTCTAGCAACAGGCGAGCAGCTGGCAGCTGCAGCCATCAGCTGAGCTATTGCTGGCAGCATCCAGTGCTCACATGAAAAGGAAGTTGGGAGGCCTCAGCAGCATGCAGGGTCTGGATCATTGTGCACGAAGGATCTGCCCTTAATCTGCCACTGCTGTCTAATTTGTGATTGCTTAATTTTTTTTTAATAGTTTGGGAACAAGGTGTCTGTGCTCATGGACACTTTAGGATGTGTGTAACTAAGATTTTACCAGTGTTTTCTGTGCAGAGTACACTCCTTTTTCGTGTTTATATGAGTGATTGCATAGGGCTTGTTGTCCCTAATAAAACTCTTTAGACTTGGGATTGCAAAAAACCCAAGCAGGTATTTGTTTAGCTCACTTATATTTTAGAACTGTGTGTACAGGTTTTTGTACCACGTGGTTCTACACCTACTGTATTTCAGTGCAAGAGCACACAAAGCAGAATGAAAGCAACTAAATTCTATTTTTTTCCCTTCCCAAAATTGGTCACTTATAAAATGCTGTTTGATAGCTTCCTGCCTGATGTTCTTAGTGTGAAGTCAGTGGCAGGTTGTGAACCCATTGTCTCTCTGTGAGCTCAGTGGCCCAGCCAGATTTCCTCCCACATTTAACCAAACTACCAAGATGTGGAATGGATATAAGGATCCCATGGGAGGCCCTGCTGTTGGTCTTGCTGTAAAACAATTTTGGGTCACCAAAGAAAAAAAGAGAAGAATCAGCCCTACATAGAACTCTATGTATGTTCTCAGAGTCACTGAGCAAGACATTAGAATGCTTTAATGAGATCAAAATGGGTGTTGAAAACTAGCTTGAAATCTTACCTGCTGTACCCAAGAATGAATGTTAAAGTGGAAATGATGAAATAGTCTGTAGTTTGATCCTTAATACAAGCATCTATTTTATTTCATGTGGACAGTCAGATATACTTAGAAGTATATAGCTTTATAAAAAAAGAGTTAGTATATTTCTTCCATGTTTTCTGCTTAGGAAAAACTTGCTATGAAACTATATAGCTGGAAAGTGCATCTTTTCAATGGAAGTACTATTACCTCTTGATGTTCTGTGACATAAAAAGTCTAAGCTAACCAATACATTGTACACTAGAGGGTTTTCAGAATTGTCTGTTGAGCCTGCCCAAGGTTAATTCAGGATTCTTGTCTTGCAGGTTCATGTTGGGGAGAGGCCTAAAGCGCAAGCTGAGTGACTATGAGGAGAGCATGGCTGGTCTCTCGAGTGCCTTTGACTCCAGCCGAGGTCTGTCCTACCCCCTCAAGAGGCAGCTGGTGCTCAACATGTGCCTCACCAAGTTACAGACGTACAAAATGCTGGTGGAGCCCAACCTGCACCGCTCCGTGCTCATCGCCAACACCGTGCGCCAGATCCAGGAGGAGATGAGGCAAGAGAGCAGCCAGCAGCCAGTGAACATCTGCCCTGGCATTGCTGCTGCTGCTTCTCACAGCTACCCAGGGATGGAGGCACCTGGCATTTCCCTTCAGCTGCCGTCAGGTGTTGGTCAGCAGGAGCCCCACTGCTGTGAGCTGCGCTCTGGGGAGGATCCGATTGAGAGCAGCCTGCTGATCGTTTCAGATGATGACATGTCATCTGCTATCTCATCTATTCTGAAGGATTTAGACTTTGTAGAAGATATCAGCCCACCTACTTGTCTGGTTCCTACTGGAGATGACCAGCCAAAGTTCCCAGAAAATACTGGTCTGAAACTAGAAGATGACAGGCAGGATTTGAAGGGAGCTGAATGTGTGTTTGGTTCCTTTGAGATTTCAAATTCAACCAGTTACTTGAAGGATTTGGCAATAGATGACATTTTTGAAGATATTGACACTTCAATGTATGATTCAGACTTTTGCTGCCCTCCCCTGATGCCGCCCAGATCACCATCTCTTGCTACAGAAGAACCATTGAAAACCTTCCCATCTTGTAATTCTTCTTCAGCAAACAACATTCAGATATGCAGAACAGATCTGAGTGAGTTGGACCACATCATGGAAATTCTGGTTGGATCCTGATACTTGTTTTACCCAAAGATACTTTTAGACTGCCACTTGGATTTGGTTTCAGGATAAAAGCCACTGGAATAGTTGTAAAGAATTCTTTTAAAAGCAAACTAAATAATAATTTGTCCATAGTAGAATTTTCTAAATAATTCCAAAACTTACAAACCAAAAAAGTGGCAGATTTTAAAAAAGAAAAATTATTTATCAGAACTGTGCAATCATCATTTTCCTTCCAGGGTGTATGTGGAACAATGGGCACATACCCTCATCACCCCTCATGCCTCTTTCAATAAACTTTTTTATGTGCAATTTTTAATTTGACAGAAGAATTTACATGCAAAGCAAATTTCATATGAGGTGATCTTTTACAAAGCCTCCACTTTATTTTTAATATCAGAGTCTATGCCAAGCTGGCATCTGTCAAGTTGCAGAGTTAGATTGTGTGGATTGCAGACATGTTCTTAGAGATGGGTATATTTTAAAAATGAGACACGCTTTGCTTTCTTTTGGTCAGAAAAGCAGATCAAGACACTTACCAACAAAGTCTCTTGCATTTTCTAAAGCATTCAGAACTATTTATTTTTGTAAATTTTATAGTCTTTCTACATTTTACTACGTTATTTCATCATAGTTCAAATATAATGGACTTCTAGTTGGATGTGTTTAGCACTACCTCTGAGCTGAAATGCTTTAACTCTTTCCAGTGCTTCATCTGAGACTGCAAATCTTTTTGTTTCTGTTTCTTTCTGGGGGAAAGTACTTCTAACTCATTAAGTTGATCCTTTGACAGTGACCTAGCTGATTTGTGAAATCAAGGATATTCAATGTTTAAAAACTTTTAAGTATTTACAAATTAATTTATATGTAGATTGTGCAATTTAACATTTTTCTGTCAGTATTATGTGCTTAGATTTTGAATAATCTTGGCGTTCTTTAAATTAAAATTTACTATGTACAGGTAGCTTTTTATTCTCTTTTGGAAAACACTGTCCTTCAACCCTGCTTTCACTACAGATTTTAAGATGATTTTTATGTGCAATATTATTTAAAGAGATACACATTTTTATACCTGGCATTGTGGGAAGAAACGCTTCAAACTTAAAGCCTCTAGCACCTTTGGAGGATACTCAGCCAACATTTCTGCATCCTTTGAGAAGCCAAGCTGAGAGCACTGAGAACACATCACCCTGTGCTGGGTGGGGCAGGGGTGTTTTTATGCAGATACACAAACACCCTGCTCATCTGGAGGTGAGATTTGCACTGGTTTTCCATCAGGCAGTGTGGGTTCTGTGTTTCAGCCTGAACCGAGGTCTAGATCGATCCCTTCTGTCGTCTTCTGAGTTTCACACTTGCACATTGCTTTTTGGTTTGGATTTTGTTTTTATTTTTCCTTCTTTTTTTAATTATAAAACTTTTACTTTGTTCTTGAAAGCTGCAGCACCTGTCTTGGAAACTTGCAGTCGTAAAACCTTTGCTTTGGTTTGTTGTATTTTTTGGGGTTTTGTTGTTCTGCTGAGCCTTTTTATGAACGGAGTGTCAGCAGAGGGGAAAAATGTTGCCTGTGTGTTGCATCTCACAGAAGTTGAAATCCTGGCCCTGTTGAAGGGGCCAGGGTGTCACCTGGTATTTCTAGTCTTAACTGATGCTGTGGCACACCTACCTTGTGCAGAGATCTCCATTTTTTACTGTGACTCTCTTGGTTAACAGTTAGCTGCCGACATAATTTGGTATCCCAGGCCAATGGAGAATCATTTCCGGTCACATCCTTGCAACCATCTGGGTTGTTTAGCAGCTGAAGGGTATAAATGTATTTATATGCATATATTGTATTGATTCTAATATAAAACTTCTGATCTAAGGCATTTTGAATTGCTGGATAAAGGGATTTGTTTGAAGAGTGTATAACTAGTTCTTGAAGAGGTACAGCTTCAGAATGTACACAGATTGTGCATTGTGTGTAGACTACTCTGGCTTTTCCTCAGCCTCTACTTTTGTATTAAAAATATGACTGAATAAATCCTTGAAATATTAAGGGCCTTCTGCACTGTGATGAAACAGAGATGCGGTTAAAAATGTCTTTAAATTCAGTGATGAGGGATAAAATAAAAAGACTGCATCTAATCTCTTTTTGCATTTGAAAATATGGAATGTTACTATGCAGTAAAGATATTTTGGTATGAAAATTGTATCATATAGCAAATAGTGAACACTTAATAAATCCACTTACCTTGCAGTCTCTACAGAAACGGAAGAGAAGACAACTTGCTTTTCAACATTTATGTACTAAAGTTTTTTGTATACTGCAGCAAAAGATTTAATTGTTGGTAGATCTTTTATCAACAATTCAAAATGCAACTTTTGTACAAGTCCTGGCTACAGAGCTCTGTTTCTAATTGGTTGCTTGTGTCACAGTGCCAAGACCATGAGCTGGTGTGTAATGCAGTTCGGTTATGTTTGGAATTATGTGCAAAGGGAAGTTTAATTTTTAAATATGCACAAATTAATTTTAAAATCCTTCCATGTAAAATGAAGTTAGAGGCTAGTTGTGGTGGACCTATTTATTGTATGTTTGGAAATAAAAGCCACAGTTTTGCATTTAAACCAGTTGTATTTTGGAGCCTTTGGTATGTGACTGTTTTAAAAACAAAGCATAAAAAAATCTATGGCACTCTGCCACCTTTTCTTTGGTCTTTCACTCACAAAGACAAGTAGCATTTTCCCAAGGCATTTGAATCTTTTTTCCTTCTCCATATTCCTCCTCTCCCCCATCCTTTGTCCCTAGAAATAATAAACACCTTACAAACCTGTACAGAAATAATTGCCCATCCCAGGCCCCCATAACAGGGGGATGAGGTTCCACATGAGGTTTCCACATACCCTGAAGGATGGATTCCTTTAGGGAAGCACCACAGCTTGAGCTGGGTGCCTCCAAAGAGGGACTGTGAACACTGAAATTCCTGGGCAGTTATGCCTATAACAGTAATAATTGAGACTATTAAGAAGGTTTGGGGTCTTCATGGTGTTTGCTCCTCCACTGCTCAGTGGTCATTGCCTTGCACAGCATCTCATCCTCCCAGTCTGGAATTTGGAATCTTCTACTAATGTTACACTCATTGACCACAATCCATAGATTTTTCTCTATTTCAGCTATCAATACCTAAGCTGCAGCTTTGCTTGGCTCTTAGGTTTTCCCTGAAAAGCACTACACCCTCACATCCCCAAAGCAGGGATGGCCCTCAGGGCGTTTTTCCAGCTGGTGGGGCAGGGGGATTCCTGTTGGGAACAGGTGACACAGGATTTTGGCACTGAGCTGCCCTCTGGGCTTTGTCTCCAGTGCCCTGTGAGGTGCTCCCAGCCCCTGCAGCTCTCGGTGTCCCTTCAGGGGTTGCTGTGCCTCAGAGCAAGTGTCACATACAGATGTCCTTGACACACATAGTGGTGGCTCTTCAGATCCGTGTGCTTGGCAGGCTGCACCAAAGCCCTGCCTCTCTCGGCTAGTGAAAGGCTGCTTGGAAAATCAAACCAGCAGCTTCAGGTTTAGAGTTTTCCATCCTCTTCCTATTGTAGACCCTTCTGCAATGAACTTCTAAGGTTTGAATTGATGCAGAATCACCATTTCCCCTCATTTTTAAATGTTTAAATAGAGATGAACCTCTTCATGTGCCATTTTAAGAATTACATCAAGTTCCCTCCATTTTAAGGGAAAAACTGTTTATATCATATAGATTGAGGCATAACTTTCACTGATGAGGCTGCCCTGGCTGCTGCTCACAGAATTGCCCTTCCCTTTGCCATGGACCAGAGTGTGTAGAGCCCAGGTCTAGAGGGAACTGCACAGAAATCCGGTGCTGTGACCACCGTGCCATCAGCTCCTGCAGTGACTCATTCCTGAGGAAGCTGCTGTGGATGCTGCAGCACAGAGCTGAGCCTGTGCCTGTGGCAGCAGAAAACACTGCCTTTCAAGGGTGTGCTGCACCTCAGTGTTTTAAGAAAATATTTTTGAAGCTTTCAGTGGTGTAGGCTTTCGTACATTGATTTTAGCCACGCTGAAAGATCTGAACTTAAAAGCTTTCAGAGCAGCACAGCTCAGGACGGTGCTGCCTGAAACAGCTGGCTGGGCAGGGCTGGGTGCTGCCCAGGTGCTCTGTCCAGCTCTGTCATCTCTCTGCTGGAAGGGACACTTAAAAAAAAACCCCTAATTTTCCAGCACAAGCAACAGTAAAATACACAAAATTAAATAACCTATCCATTAGTTCTGTGAGGAGGATGAGTTATAAATTAGCAGCAAAACTAATTTTGAGCTGCTCAAAATCAGCATTAGAAGCGAGGCATTCAAGCTCTGAAGTGTGTCTGTAGAAGTGTGTGTTAATAAAGTAGATGTTTGGGGAAGCTGGAGGATTTTTGGCATTTCAGGATTTGCCCAGCATTCACAGGCATCTCGCCTTGATTGAAAAAAGCAAAAAATGTTGCAACTTCATTCCATACATTTTTCCCTCATCAGGGCCTGCTTATCCCACCCAGCAGAGCTCTAAGCCAGGCTGGCTGTGCTCTGGCATCCAAGCTGTGCTGTGGGAGGCAATTTAGGAGCTTCTCAGGCATGTTTCAGTAGAAGCAACAAAAACTTTTTCTCTTTTGAATCTTCCAGAGGAGATCTGGAAAGTTAAATTTGGATCCACAGGGAAATTTGGGAGTTCACAATTAATTTGCAGGTAGCTCAGTTTTAGCCAAATTCCTTTTGCTGTCTTAACTGGAGTAGGCATACTCCAGGAAGTCCCATTTTTTAAACTATTAAAGCTGATCTTCATTATTAAAAAATACCAGAGTGCTTTTAAATCCTGCAATAACCTTGCATTTTGAAAAAAAAAATCTTTACAAGATTTATTTTTTTGTTTTTCACTCCATCTTCTGCATATGCAACCAACGGTGGGCTTACAGTATGATTAGAAATCATCCTGGAGTCTGATTGTCCCCACTCTTTTTCTTGGCTCTTTAAAAAGTATAATCATTAATTAAATTCCACATTGTAGAATATGCATTGAAAAATTTTCAGTCTTTGAACTAGAATGAAGTTGGTTTGAGGGGGTTTTGTCTGAAGAATGTTTACAGCATTCTTTCCCCAAAGGAATTTGTAATTTCACTAATGATTGGGACTTTCAGTGCTGATTGGGACTTTGTAAAACTTTGTTCTGTGGGTATATTTTCCCTCTAATCCCAGCAGAAGAAAGAGGCATTCCTGTCCAGATCTCCTGCCCTGCTCTCATTGTCACCTTTTCAAAATCCTAAGCAAATGTCAGAAGCCTGCAGTGTTTGCTTTCCACAAACACAGAGTACAGTGACACGTTCAGTTCATCAGAACTCAGGATGTCACAGCTGAGAGCTCAGGACTAAGGTTAGAAATGGTGACATTTGGAGCTTTAAACGTGCCCAGACACAAAGTGATATTTTCTCTGTGTGCCACTTCCAGAGCACAGACACCGAGTGCCTCTGGTGTCCCCTTTGGGGACATGGAGTGTGCTGGCACCTTTGGGGACACGGTGAGTGCTGGCACTCTGGGGATATGGCCTGTGCTGGCACCTTTGGGGACACGGTGAGTGCTGGCACTCTGGGGACACGGTGAGTGCTGGCACCTTTGGGGACACGGTGTGTGCTGGCCCTTTGGGGACACAGTGTGTGCTGGCACTCTGGGGACACAACGAGTGCTGGCATTTAGGGGGACATGGTGTGTGCTGGCACTCTGGGGATATGGCCTGTGCTGGCATCTGGGGACACGGTGAGTGCTGACCCTTTGGGGACACAGCCTGTGTTGGCACTCTGGGGACACAACGAGTGCCGGCATTTAGGAGACACGGTGAGTGCTGGCACTCTGGGGACACAGCCTGTGCTGGCACTCTGGGGACACAGTGTGTGCTGACCCTTTGGGGACACAGCCTGTGCTGGCACTCTGGGGACACGGTGAGTGCTGGCACTCTGGGGACACAGTGTGTGCTGGCACTCTGGGGACACGGCCTGTGCCGGCACTCTGGGGACACGGGCTGTGCTGGCACTTTGGGGACACGGTGAGTGCTGGCACTCTGGGGACACAGCCTGTGTTGGCACTCTGGGGACACGGCTTGTGCCGGCACTCTGGGGACACGGCCTGTGCTGGCTCTTTGAGGACACAGGCTGTGCTGGCCCTTAGGGGACAGTGCCTGTGCTGGCACCCCGGGCTGGCTGCCAGGGACAGCAGCGGGGACAGCAGGAAATGACTCACGGTGCGCGCGGTTGCTGCTTGTGCTGAACGCGTCAGAGGCGCTTCCGGCACCCCTCGTTTCCCAGGAGAGCCACAGAAGGCAAGGCTGTGTTTTTACCATGAAATGTGCCTGAAAATGTTGGCTACCCTTTGGTTTGTGTCCCTGATCTTCTGTCAGTTGAGAGAGGCCAGTTTTGTCTTTGTGGGTACCCCCAAATGTGCCGGTCGTGTCCAAATTCCCATGGGGCTGGAGGGTTGCCAGAACTGCCCAGCCTTGAAGCTGAATTGCATTATTTTGCCATTCAAATTTTGCCAGTCTTTTCCCCTGGAATGGTGAATTTGTTCATCTCAGATTGGAAATGAGTTACAAAGTCCCTCAGTTGTCTTATGCAGCCAGTTCTGACAGGTAGTGAGGGCTCAGGTGGCCCAAAGCACCTGCCCAAAAGAAAAAGTCCTGGAAGGTGGAGCCCAGCACCTTTGGAACCCCAGTAGTTCATTTCCCTGCTGAATCACAAGGGCTGAACCCTTTTTCTTTCCATTCTGTACCTTGGACAGGGCTGTAAAACCTGCTAATATGAGGGAAAGATGACGTATTCATCCTTCTCCCAGAGTAACAGTGCCAAACAGTTTTCCATCCATTCATCCAGTGCTCGCACAAGCAAAGGCAGAGTTAAAAGCCCAGAGGAAAAGAGGGCTCTGATGCATCAGTGAATGTTATACACACTACAAGTTGCCCCCTAAAGCCCCTCTGCAGGCCCCTGCTTGTCTGAAGGCATAAAAATGGGATTTTAATCTTATAATTGATTTTTAATAATGTTTATTACTAACCTCAACTATTCATTCACCATTTACTGGCAATTTAACATTTTGTGAGTTTATGACTACTAATTAAACCTATTTAATACATGTTTATGAGCTCTGAAAGAATATAAGGGAAACTGAAAATTAATTCAAATTTAGGGTTAACTGAAAAAGTTAGCCCTGTTCTGGTATACAGGTGGAGTTTCTAGCTTGGCATTGCAGAACTCCTTCCAGGGCCAGGGGAGCTGCAGAGCCACTTTAAAAGAGCCTTTTTCCAAATGCCCTGTTCCATCTACTGAGTAAGCAGGACAGAGTTCATGCCATGCTAATAGCACTGAGGTATCACCAGCATTACTGAAGTTATTACAGCAACTGTAATGTCACTGCTGAACAGTTTACTAGATTAAGGGTTGAAGTCTGCCAGTGCTTTATGGTATTCTTAATTCTAAGAACAGACTATGCACATCATTAAATAATTAACTAACTTAGTTTTGGAACACCCAACTTTGTTCCCTGCTTTCAACACATAAAATATCAGCTGCCATGCTTAGCATCTCTTTAAAACAAAAAG